TAGATAAAATTTAGTGTTGTTATCTTTATCTTTATCCAGATGATTTTTTTGTTATCTGTTCCTAACACTGACTATAAATGAGCAACTTATGGGTTTAATCGGATGAAGGTAAATTATTTTTTATCAAATATAGGATGTCGATAACGCATTGAAAAGCGTCCCGGAACACGACACTCCGAAACTGTTGAATTTGCCAGAGAATGTAGACAGGTCTTGGCAAAAGAAGCAGAGCACCGAAACAATATCACAGTTACGACGTGAGCGAAATATTTTTAAAAATTACCTAATGACTAACACTAAAAGAGTGGAAATAAATCATTGATTGATTTTTAAAATATTCTTATAAAATTATCAAATAGCGATGGACTTGTAGCATATATCTCAGGTTCTCGAGTACCAATATATTATTTATTTTTAAATAATCGTTACTTTAATATTGAGTAGTAAACCTCAATATACTATTATGTGATTGGCAAAATCATTTTTATGGAACCTAGGTATACAAAAACTATATAGCAACATACTATTATAATAATTTAAATTTTACTGTCGTTCAGATATATCTATTAATTCATATCGCCATATAGCATGTACCTACACCTATTATACATACATCGTTTTTTATTTTAGGTAGCCCACAATATGCACTTTTTTAAATCCTATTTTACAGAATTATGAAGTGTGCCTTAAGACGATAGTTGTATAATCATCATTTTTTTCCCCGCTAATTATACAGAATAACTGAAAATCTACTCGTTTGAAATTTAAATAGATATTAAAATTWAAAAAAATATATTTAAATGTATTTATATTTTATTATTTACTTTAATTCAACATGATATATGAATTCAAACAAACTATTCATAAAATGACTCAAAGGTTGAAAAATCCATATACTTATTGTTTAGTGTTTATCTACTGTATACATAATTCATATATACTGTATAAAGGCGTCAGCATTGGCAGCATTGGGACGAAACTGCAAATAAAGGGTGACTGGCATTTGAATGTCCAACCCATTCTAGATCTGTGGAAGGCTTTGAACAGGGGCGTCAACCTTTCTGAGTTGCCGTCGAGCAGAAGTGGCGACAGTAACCATCATCGGCCGGTGGATGCGTTTTTCAGCCAAGAACTCAACTTTGCGGTCCGACTAGTTAGAAACGTGCACAAGACCTTGGTCGGTGTAAACCAGACAATTCGCAGCAACACGAGGCCCTCGACTACAGTGTCAGACACAGTGTTACATCTCATTAGACTTCAAGTATGATATAATATCGCTTAGCCTAAAATATCGGATCCAAAGGGTGGGCAGAAAGATTCATCCTAAAACCGGTTACTTAGATTACTCGTGTAGCTGGCTGATCATGGTGCACCACGTGAAGGTAACCTAGCTTCTTACACCACAATAATATCTTGGGAAAGGTAAAAATCAAAAAAACGGCATGCACTTGGGATATCCCCGTAAATTATGGCCTATTTTGAAGGCTTTATGTACATTTTTTTTCCTGGTACAATTATTTGTACGTGTATATATGACTGAGTAAATTTTTAAATAATCAATTACTTAACAAACGTTTTTAGTTTTTTATTGTGTAGAAAAAAATCTTAATATTTGATGACAATCCGTCCACTTTAGTGAGTCTCTTGGCTGTATTACAGATTTCGAGTGTACTTTGTCATTACTCATTTTATAATGATGGATGTAAAAAATTTTAATTCAATTATAAATCATTGCATTCTTTATACCTGTGAAAAACTACTCTGAGCAAATATGATGTCTATTATCTATTATGTTAGCTTATTTTATTTCTAAAGATATTTTCGATATTTTTACATCAGATTTCCCACATATTTTTTCAGGAATTATGTTTAACTTTTCTACTTATTATTATTTCTACTTATATTTTTCTACTTTTTTACTTATTACAATTATTATTTCACTTAATTATCTGTAAGCACGTTGTTTAATCGATAATCATAAATGGTTTTGTAATTAATGATTAAAAAAATTATAATTTTAAACTCTTATAAAAATAATTTTAATATATTATGCTTCCGATATTTATTAACTGCTGTAAGAAAAATTATTTAGGAACTTTGTACCTATCATTAATAAACTGTTCACTTAAAAACGAGAAATGTATCATATAATGTAAGATCATAAAAATAATATTAGGTGAAAATTTAAAGTATTTTATGGCTATTTATTTTTGAAGTTTACCTAAAACAAAAACTAAAAATAGAGGACACTGGATTCGCGCCTTGTCAATCTTATCGACCATAACTTATAATACCTGACTTATCCGATTCATAATAAATATAATAATTATAAATATARAAACAATTTTTATTATAATATAGGTAATAATTAAATTATTTTTTTAGACACCAAAAACGTGGATGGACCAATGGACTGGTCCGAACGATCCGGTGGCGTATATCAGAACCATCGTGGCCAGAACTATATGCGTGAAAAAAATTAGCGTTTTAGATGACAAATTGTCGCAGAAAATCGACCTTGACGAGCTATTTCACCCTAGAACGTTCCTAATTGCACTAAAACAACAAACAGCCAAGTATGTACCTATATACGTATAATAGTACTTAGTCTAAGTCTATTACAAAATGCAATTTATTTATCTTAAAGGAATGTTTAAAATCACTCTAAAGATATATCGAAATATTCCTGCTTAGATTTTGCGATAAACTAAGTTATAGGCTTATAGCCCACATATTTCAGTGGTGTTTTGACTGTAATGTGAATATTCAAAGTCTCGCGGAAGTCTTGATATGGGAGGGGGGCACATTACTTTCACCAAACTGGTTGTGCACATTTCTCCAAAGGAATTTCAAAAAATATGAAAAAAAATTGATCACATTACGAAAAATTATTCATGTATCAGTGACAGTGGCGTAGACAAGGGCGACGTGGGGGTTAGATCCCCCCCCATTAGCTATTTTTTTGTTTTTGCTTACATTATGTAGTATGCACTATAATGTAACATTTTTTCATATTGTGAATTGTGATCCATCGAGCTATTGAATTTTGACAGTTTTTTCAATATACCTACTGATTACTGAATACCATTATAATTTTATTTTCGTTTATTTATAGCAAATTATATTAAATTATATTAAATTATTATAGCAAAGTAAACAGTAATATTTATTTGGTCAAAATGGTCGATGACGATTGTCGACTACGATTATGCTTAATTATAGCTTAATATCTTATTATTTATAGAGACAAC